CCAAGCCGCCATGTTTAGTTGACTCGTGTAAGCATGAGGTTTATGTTGATTAAAGCCTTACAACACGGCAATTGTCTTATGTTACTTCACTACAAACACTCAATGGCCATTTCTTATAGAAAAAATTTCCTAAGGTAACTATAGGAAACTACTATTGCAAAGACCAGTTTGAAGCACACTTACAGTGTAATCTGTCTTTTTGTCTCCACCACAGAAATTGCAGTAAATTCAAACCAAGAGAGAGAACGAGAATTGCGATAATGACTCCAAGAACAGCGGTGACTGGTAAGAGAAAAGTCAAAGTTTCAATAATAAACAACAAATGACTAAAGAAGTTATATAACTGTGAGTTGACTTATTCTTGTAGAATGGCATCGTATTGTTATCATTCTTAGAACTTACTGTACTTCGAGCCTCCCATTGGACAGCTGTTGACTGATTTACCTAAGAAGTAAAGCAGTTTAAAAATAATTCAAAAAATTCTTTATGAGATCATCGAAATGCACATTTCTTTAACCCGGCCATACCTCGCCCAGAAAGAAATATACTGTACTATAAGATACTAAGGCCATGTACATACCACTGGCATATGCAGTCTTATCTGCTGTAGTATTTACAGTCTTAACATTACGTTCATCCTTGATGCTTTCTCCATATTTGTTCCACGCAGTAACTGTAAACTTGTATGTCTTTCCATATTCAATTGTCGTTCCCACGATGTATTCCAGTAGAAGATAATCTCTGACTTCCTCTAACTTATTCCAGTCAGATTGTTTGCTTTCTTCTTTCATGTAGATAGTGTAGCGTGATATCGTTGCTCCATTGTCATCAGGTTTCTTCCACCTTAGAAGAACTTTTCTTTTAGATTCCGTTTCTATGAGTAGGGAAGTCAACAGTTCTGGAATGCCTGGTCTGCCTTAATTCAAAGCGACGTAAGGTAATCAGCAGTTATTTATTAAAATCATTTGCTAGTAAAATTACGGTTACCTCAAAATTGACATATAAACAGTCCATCTAGCTATGGCGGAATGGAAATCTAGTATGGAGTAGCTGTAGTGCAGTTGTTGTAGTGCAGTTTTTGAAGTGCAGTTGCTGTAATGCAGTTGCTGTAATGCAGTTGCGGTAATGAAGTTGCCCCCAGTGCATTTAACTTCCATGCCACATCAATCCAGGTCTCCCTCGGTACGAACCCAGCACTCGGTATCACAAGTGAGTAGACTATGTTAAGCCTCTTCCCTAATTTAAATGTTTTTTCCCTACACATATCAAGCTTCACTCCATACATGGTATGATCAATTCCATATTTGATTGGTTTTACTTACCTGTTTTCTCGGTAGTGATAATCTTGGTCGATGGCACTCCATATCCAATACCATTCTTAGCATATACTGTAACCCTATACTGACTGTCCTTCTTTAAGCCTGTTAGTACGGCGTACGTGTCAATTGTCCTTACAAAGATGTGGGAATCAGATTCCAGTAAGTAACCATTGACAGGACTTCCACCATCATCAGCAGGTTTGGTCCATCTCACATTTGCGGATGATGCTTCAATCTCGGTTATCGTTATTGTAACAGGACCTGGGTCAACTAGATGAGCAAACACTTCTTCAGTAACAGCAGCTCAATGCCGTATAGGAAAATATACTTACTTTTTTGAAGTCATGTCCTCGAGCCCTGCGTTGGATAAAATGCTGGTAATGGTTTTACATGCATAACCTAATCTATACTTACACAGTTGAGTAACATTGATGACGTGTTCATCGCTTCCCAGGATGTTTGTTGCACGACACTTGTACTGTCCATAGTCCCCTTGGTCAGCAGTTGTCAGTACTGTTACCTCACTACCCCCGGGTACACTGTTGATACCTGTAGTGATCTGCTGATTTGTTGGTTTGTACCATGATATTCTTGGTGCAGGTAAACCAGTTGCAAAACATCTTAGACGAATACTGTTGCCATTCCATGACTTTGATCTTAAAGAAGACTTTGATAAATCTATCGCCGGTTTGTCTGAATTTGAAGAAAATCAAAGAGGGATATAAGTCTTAGCGATTTGTACATTCAGATCTCAATAAGTTCAACAGTCAAGGCTATATATAATTTTACCTACACTGCACAGTAACTTGTATACTGGCCATTGCTTCTCTTCCTATCCCGTTACTAGCTGTACACTTGTATGTCCCTGCATGTGATCTGCTGACTGACGGCATGTTGTAGACATTCCCAGTGTGAACAGATCCTACTTGTGTCTTCCATTTGATGGTTGGTGGTGGATAGCCATCTGCATCACATTTTATACTCAGGGAGTCTGTCTCATTCACGGTTTGGTTTAGTAACGTTTCCAACTTGATCGAGGGCTGGTCTGTCATGATTGAAGCATATGTTACAATCATAACCCAAATAGAAAGAGGATGCGACGATATGAGAATGGAGGCCGGATGTCATTTGTGAAAAGTACGGCAGCATTGCAATTCTAGAGGTGAGTGAATTTTTTTTTAAAAAACAGTGCTTTCAAAATAACAGTGATTAACGTCTTTTTGCTGACATAAATATATTTCATTTTTAATTAATGTATTAATTAACTCATCCTATTCTCCTTCAAGGGGAGTCGATTAATACATACAAAAAATAAATTCAAAATCATTCAAATATCTCAAGAGAGGAAATATGCACTGAGGACGACAAATGAACTGAAATTCAGCATAGGTATACTTACATTTTACAATCACAGTTGCAGTTGCACTGTCAGTTTGTTCCCTGCTGTCATATGTGTTCTTTGCTGTACATATGTACTTGCCAGCATCTGTTTTGATAGCATCAGGTACTCTTAGTGTTCCCCCAGTTACTGTGTGACCATCTTTGATGACACCATCAGCCTTTGTCCATGATATGGATGGTGGTGGATAACCATCTGCTGTACAGCTGAGTAAGATCTCATCACCTTGTACAACTGTGAGACTTGGAGGAGTAACACTGCTTTGAGGAGGATCTACAATTACGTTACATTTAATTCTCATACTCATTAATAATCGGCCAATCAATGGGCTATTTTTTGTGTCACATCATGTTACTTGAAACCTGGTAAAGTCCTGTGAAAGGATTGAATTAATTTTTGTTCAAGTCCTTGGACTGGATCAAAATTAATTCAGTTCAGGGACATATCTGTCCCTTAAGTCTTTTAATCCTAAACAAATAACCTCCCGAATTTCTAATGATTATAAGAAGTCATTTCAAAGCCTCCAAATCGGACTGGACGGGATTTCAAGTCGTCCTTGCAATTGGAACTAATTGCTTAGGCTTGAAATCCCGTCCAGTCCTCATTGTCTGCTTTGAAATATTACGTATCAATTTAGGAAATCGACATCCCTTCCTATGGTCTGTACTCTTATCGAACATGGAATGGCGTCAGCATAAGATCCAAATTCAAGTGGAACCACGAGTACAGCCAGTGATTATTCTAACATTCAGTCGTTAATGAACTTCTATTATACTTTATTATTATTTATTATTATTATATTTTTTAATATTTATTTTATTTTTTTTTTTATTTTTATTTTTTTTTTCGGACAGGGACCTAAAACCGTAGGCCCTGTCTCTCAACCCTTCCTAACCTACAGTAAAATGGGGAACATAAAAGAACCTGTTGAATTATACGTATAAGATTAGGGGATTATCTCCCAATTCAACAGCCTATCCTAATCTGGAGGCATTAATACTAACTTACTTACAAATCACTCATGATTGTAAGCTGCACGGCTGCTACTAGCGCCTAAATACGTAGCCCGTAAAGTCCTCCACTGGTCATGATTGTGAAGTGCATTGAGACCATGTAAAATGCGCTATATAAGAACCCCGTTATTATTATTATTATTATTATTATTATTATTATTATTATTTTCTCATTCTATAGCAAATTATCGACCGCCGTTAAATTCTTAATAAGTTATAGAGAAACTCCCTGAAAACCACATGTATATTTGTGATGGCCGCATATAACAGTCAGTAACAACAATGAACGTAACTACAGTGGCGAAAAAGTGCTTGTTCATACTTACAATAAACAGACACAACAGTCTGTGTAGTGACTGGATCCTCATTAGGGTTATTGCTGGCCTGACACTCATACGTCCCATTCTGATCTCTTCTAATGTTTGGTATTCTCAGTGTAGCACTTCCTGTTCCTGTACTCTTGGTGACGTCACCTACTATCTGTACCCATTTGACGTTGGGTTTTGGTTGTCCAACAGCAGTGCAAGGCACTCTCAAATCCTGTCCCTCTGATATATTCTTTGTTGGTGGTGGCTGTGGCTGGAACTTGGGAGTTACTTTTAAACAAAATGTTAATTAAAACATCACGTTTATGTAAGCAAGTTTAGTAGGCAATCGAGCTTGCACAAACAGGTCATGTGACCCCACCCATGTTAGGACAACCAGTTCATCAAAATTGACATCGAAATAAAAAGAGATATCCTCCATAGTAAATAGGCAGGTCAGTTTTGGCTCATAAACGTGAAACTTTAAAAACAAAAATTTATGAAGATTACTAAGAAAACTCTCAAAAGTATTTTTTATTTTAAATGAATTTTAATAATTATAAGGAATATTAAAATTAAATGAAGTTGCTTACCAGCCACAGTCAGACTCATTTTATATCTCGTTTCAAGACTTCCTTCCAGGATTACAACAGCATATTCCTTGGTATCACTGATACTAAGGTTTGTTATTTTGAACCAAGCTCGACCAGCAGGCACGTCTCCCACGTAATAAACTCTTCCTTTGTAACTCGATGCAGCTGGGGTATCCAAGTCAGAGCTATAGATAGCAACGTTGGCCCATTTATCCACGTATATGAACTGTGGTTTTACTCCCTGGTTATCTGCCGGATCCACCAATCCCCATCTCACTTCCACTATACTACCACTTGTTCTGTTCCACATGAAGACGACATCTTGACCAACATTTCGTGTGATGCCATGCGCTATAACAAAAGCCAAGCATGTTAATGATGGCTTGGTTGGGGAAAAAGCTTCCAAGAATGGTACAAGATGTGTCAAAGCTCATTGGGAATCAGACTGAATGTTTATGTTTGACTAAATTAATGCTGAGTATGTGCACACTCTGTTGAATCAGTCAGATGTTTAAATGTGTAAGTGAAGGATAACGTGATTATTGGCGTTTAGAAAACTTTTATGTTACATTTTTTATGGGTGGTTTTCAAGGTGTCTCGAACCAAATCCATCGCGAACTTTGCGACCTTTTGAATTCGCCTTTATTCTCTCTCTTCCATGTTGATAGTTATGGCTTTTTTTACTTATAGCAAGTTTGACTTAAATTATGATGATGTAGCAAACGTTTGAGTGCGCTCGTTAATTTATCCGCTAAATTTATCTACTTTCATCCTGTCCGTATGGAAGTCTACCGGGAAGTCTACTGATGATCATTGTGGTCTATTAAACATATTTTTGTCATCATTACTTATACCGTGTTGGTCAAGTGGTACCAATGTTACACCACAAAACACCAGTTGACTTTAACCGACAATACATCGATTACACTGATTGAGCTTAACATAGCCCTATTTATAAGTCAACTTAATGGTTCTAATGTACATCATGACCGCAACTATGCCAGTTGACTCACAAATTGAACTATTGGTTCCATGAGATTCAAACAAACAAATATCCTTGTTATGCAGACTCAAACTACAAGTTAAATTGAACGTGAATGTAACATGTCCTTTGTTAAACAGTCACACTTCAGATTTGCACGTAAATTCATTATAAAGTAATAAAAGCTAAAATATTTTTTAAATATTTTCAAGCGTTTATAAGACTGACTAAAGGCTAAAGGTAGCAGAATCGCAATGTTTAAATTGAGTATTAGTTCGAAGGTATGTTGTGTTGTAAAGGAAATACATCGGATTGATTAAAAGAATAAACACATTGACTAACCTTCAGGAGGAAGTAAAATCAATACMCTGAAAACACAGGAAATAAGAATGTACACTTTTTGGAGTTGAAAAGATCTCATCTTGTAAACTCGTTGTAAGCTATTTGGAAAACTAAGAAATGCCCTGTAAAAATGCGAGCGATAATGTTTACGTTCTGAGAGAGAAGTTATATATGCTGATCATTACTTGGCTGTAGTTTACCTTTTATGCTTGATCACTTTATGTAGATTATATCTGGTAACGCAAACTTGAGAGATAACACAGGTATCCCAGAATATATTTTTTATCGAAGATTTTCCTCAGCTTTTCCTTTCGTTCTTGACTTGATTTTATTGGTTTTCTTTCTTATTTGGTTCTTTTTCCCTGTTTTTTTGTCTTAGATTTTACCTCCTTTCCTTTCCTTTTCTTCTTCTTTTCTTTCTTTCATTC